TGCGGCCGTGACAAGTCTGATTGTGATTATGATTGTGATGATGATGATGATGATGATGATGATGATGATGATGATGATGATGATACTGATACTGATGATGATGATGATGATGATGATGGTGGTGGTGGTGGTGGTGGTGGTGGTGATGATGATGGTGATGATGATGATGATGATGATGATGATGCTGATGATGATGCTGATGATGATGATGACGAGGATGATAAGGACGAGGAGCAGGAACAGCAGGAGGAGCAAGAGCAATGGAGTGGAACGGATAAGCTGGAGGAGCAGGATAAGAATGGGGCCGAGGATAAGGATGAGGAGCCGGATACGCCTCTGTCGCAGGGGGATTGCGCGCAGATAGACTCTGGGGCAGCTCGCATGCCTAGAACGGGTAAAATGGGAGCCGCGCCCGATCGATGTTTTTGGGGAGAATGGGCGAGGAGGATAGGACGATCATGTTGAGTTTGTTGATGACGATGGTGCTAGTGCCGACGATGATAATGACGAGGATGAGTGGAACGAGGAGAAGGAGGAAACGAGACATCATGAGAGGCAGAGAAGGAGAGAGAGAGAGAGAGAGAGAGATAAAAAAAACGAGAGAGAGAGAGAGGGAGAGAGACAGAAAGGGAGAGAGAAAGATAACGAGAGAGGGGAGAGAGAGAGAGAGAGAGAGAGAGAGAGAGAGAAAGAGAGAGATAGAGAGAGAAAGAGAGACACGTATCCACGCACATGCATACCCACTGTCTACATGCCTACTGCTACACATCTAGATATGACACTGACAGAGAAGAGTGAGAGAGAGAGAGAGAGAAAGAGAGAGGGAGAGAGAGAGAGAGAGAGAGGGAGAGAGAGCGAGAGCTCGCATAACGAGGGAAAGAGAGAGAGAGAGAGAGAGACCGAAATGTGTAGGGAAGGAGGGGAATGAACATAATTAGGGGAGACAGGGAGAGAGGTACATGGAAGTAGAGAGAGAGAGAGAGAGAGAGAGAGAAAGAGAGAGAGAGAGAGAGAGAGAGAGAGAAAAAAAGAGAGAAAGAGCGAGAGAGAGAGAGAGATAGCGGGACACACACATATCTATATGGGTGTTTTTACAACATGATGCTTGTAGCATTGTCGGAGATACGGGTGCACTCGGATGTCTGCACATATTTCTCAGAGCGTTTGCCATCCAACGCTTCTGTGCTCAAAGTTTTTTGGGAGCCCGGGCTCCCATGTATCCCCTGCTCACCGAGCTCAGCAGGGGTTTCTCGACCGTTCTCGCCGCTCGTTTCTCCGCATTCCCCTGCGCAGACTGCTCCCGCAATTGCGCTCCCGTGTTCTCCTTCGCCGAGGGCGCCGTTCCGCGGGAGCTGAAGGCGAGTGGGCCGTGGCCCGCGCCGACGGCCTGCCTCGTCCTGCTCGGGCTCGGCGCTGCCTTGGGTGGCGCCGCGGTGCTGTGCGTGCAGCGGTGGCTGACGCCTGCTTCCTCAGCCACGCCCGCGCCGTCGGCCGCCGCCCCCGTCCTGAAGGACCTGTCGGAGGAGGCGCGGGCGCACAGGCGGAGGTCGCAGGTCGACGGTCCGCTGCGTTCCGTGGCTGACGCCATGGCGCGCCACCAGCTCGAGACGGCTGGGCTTGCCGAGGGCGATTTCATCGCCGTCCGCTATCGAGTGCGCGGGCGACGGCTTTGGCACCGCAGGCTGGTCACGGCATTGGTGCCGGGGGGCGTCTCTGTCGTCGGGGTCCTCACCCCCGACCGCGACGAGTACGATGAGGACCTCGAAGATGTCGCGAACATCGCTGAGTGGACGATGCTGCCGCAGGGCGCGATCGGGGCCCCCGCCGCGGCCATGGCGCTGGACGAGGTCTACGACTTCCAGCACCTCCCGCTGCCCGCCGCTGTGGACGCTGCCCGTGCCGCCGCCTGCGCGAGGGCCGGCGCTGTGCCTGTCGGGCCCATCGTGGTCATCGTCGCAGGCCGTGCCGGGGCGGGCGTCCCCGTCGTCGCAGTCCCCGTGGCGGCCGCTGCCGCTCCTGCGCCCGCTGCGTGTGTCCCTGGCGGCGGTCTTGCAGGGCTGGTGGCCGCCCTCGGAGGTGCTCCTGGCGGACCTGCTGCGGCGGCGCCTCCGCCCGCGGCGCTGATGCCCGTGGCCGCGCCCGTCGGCCCAGGCGTCGGCGCGGGCCCGCCCGCCCGCGCGTTCATGAGCGCGCGCGGGGGGCGCGTGCGGCAGGGCCGCCTTCGATCCGATTCGATGCGCTTCGATTTTGCCGGCTGCGGTCGCGGTGCCGATTCGACGGGATTCGGCTCCATGCGCCATTCCATGGCATTGGCCAGGTCCAGCTGGAACCAGTTACGATCCGAATCCGACTCGGGAGGATTCGTTGGCGATCCGACCAATTCCCGATCCAATCCGATGTCGCGATGCGATCCAGCTCAGGCTTGGCATATGTCTAACAAGTCATGGACATCGCTTCGAATGCCCTCGCGGATTTTTTCGGATCGGCTCTGGGCCCACTCTGGCGGCGCCTCCCGTGCCTTTCCCAGCGAACTCCACATGTCAGATGACGGAGGTCAGCGCCGACCCACAATCCGCGCGGAGTTTTTTTTGACTTTCTGCGCAGTTTCTTATCTAAGACGCCTACGGCGAATCACCGCCGCCCCCTGCCTTGTCGGAAGCGCCTATGTGGCCGAACGTTGAGGCCAGACTTGCTAAGCTATCGGACCATGTGTTCCCCGAGTCGGTTTGGAAAGCCTTCTTGGAACACGTGGGCATCTTGAAGGTCATCTTGGCCGTCTGGAGGCCATTTTGACCCTTTCGGGCCTTCTTGGAGGCGTCTTGGAGGTTTCTTGGGCGAACCTGGGGTGATCTAGGACTTTCTGAGGCCGTCTTGGAGGCCGTCTTGGACCATCTTGGGCGAACTTGGAGGCCATCTGGGACCATCACTGAGGCCATCTTGGGCCAACATGGCCATCTAAGAGGCGATCTTGAGCCGTCTCGGAGGATTTTGCGGGGACGCTGAGGTGGCTTACGCGGCCTTCAGGACCCCGGCGGAACGGGTCGAAGCCCCAGGGGGAGTTTTTTGGAACAAACCAAAAACCGATATGATCTGGCACGCCAGGCACCCCTACGATGAATCGACAGGGGGCGGCGGATCTAAGACGCCTGCGGCGAATTACCGCCGCCCCCTGCCTTTTTGCAAGCGCCTGTGTGGCCGAACGTTGAGACCAGACCTGCTAAGCTATCGGACCATGTGTTCCCCGAATCGGTTTGGAAAGCCTTCGGGGAACACGTGGGCATCTTGAAGGTCATTTTGGCCGTCTGGAGGCCATTTTGACCCTTTCGGGCCTTCTTGGAGGACGTCTTGGAGGGCTTCTTGGGCCGTCTTGGAGGCCATCTTGAGCGTCTTGGAGACTTCTTGGGCCGTCTTGGGGGCCTCTTGGGGCCGTGTCTTGGGCCTCTTGGGCGATCTTTGTGGGCGCATGGGCCGTCTCGGGCCGTCGGAAGGCAGAAAAAAAGGCACACGCCACAATCCTTCAAAACCAATTGGGAATCAAGGATTTTGGCCTTTTCGGGCCTTCCTGGAGGCCCTCTTGGAGGCCTCTTGGGCCGTCTTGGGCCATCTTAGGGCCATCCTGGTGGGTTCCTGGCGCGTGTGACGCCGTCGGAAGCCGTCTTGGGGGCCTTTCTGGGCCGACTTAGGGCCTTCTTGGGGCGCTTCGGGGCCGTCTTGGGCCGTCTTCGGGCCCTCTTGGGGCCGTCTTGGAGGCGTCTGGGGCTGTCATGGGGCTCTCTTGGGGGCCTCTTGGGCGATCTTGGGGCGATCTTGGGAGCCTCTTGGGCAGTCTTGAGCCGTCGGAAATCCGAAAGGGCGCAAATGCCAGCATCCTTCAAACACCTAAGGACAATCACTGATTTTGGCCTTGTCGGGCCTTCCTGGAAGACCTCGCGGAGGCCTCTTGGGCCGTCTTTGAGGCCTCTTGCGGGCCTTTTGGGCCGTCGTAGACTATCTTGAGGCCATCTTGCGCCGTCTTGGGTGCATCTTGGAGCCATTTTAGACGTCTTTGAGACCATCTTGGCTGTCTTGGAGGCATCTTGGAGGCCATCCTGGGCCATCTTGGCCGTCTGGGAGACCATCTTGGGCCAACTTGGGGCAACAAAGGCATTGACGGACGGATTTTCGGGAATCTCCTGGGGCCCGGGCGGGACGGGCCGAAACACCAGGGGGAGTGCTTTTGAAAAAAGAAGCAAAACCAGAACCGTAATAGTCTAGCACGCCAGGCACCCCTGCGATGAATCGACAGGGGACGGCGGATCTAATGGCCTTCGGCACATCCCGCCACCATTCCTGGGTTGTGGGTCATAGGCCTCTAGGATGTTCGTTGGGATGTCACGGGAGGCCTCTCGGGGTCCGTTTTGATGCCTCTTTGGGGGCCGTTTTTGGGCTTCTTCGGGCGTCTTGGGGGCCTCTTGGGGGTGTTTTGGAGCCTCTTGGGTGATTCTTGGAGATTTCTTGGGGCCTCCCGGGCCCTCTTGGTGGGGAAGACGTGGATTTTCAGTTCGTGTTCCCCTTCTTGGGCCGTTCTTGGGGCTGTCTTTGGGCCGCCTTGGGCGCCTCTGGTGCCGTTGTAGAGCCCTTTGCCGTATTGGGGCCCTCGTGGAGGCTTCTTGGGCGGTCTTGGGGCGGTCTTTGGGGCTTCTTGGACCGTCTTGGAGCTCTTGGAGCGTCGGAAGCTTGAAAAGTCGAGGAACCCTGAAACTTTGACAAACCTCAGGCCAAAAGGCCCATGGGGCTATCGTGGGGCGCCTCGAAGGCTTCTTAAGCCGTCTTGGGGCCACCTTGGGGGTCTTGGAGCGATCGTGCGGCGATTCGGGGCTCTGTTTGAGCGTCTGGGCGGGCCTTCTGGGGCCCGACAAAAGTCATGCGACAACGCCCCAGGCACGCTGCGCTAGGTCCCCGAAGACTTGTGAAATTGCCCCAGGGAGCGCCCCCAGGGAAGGCTGGAAGGGGGAGGGGATCAGCCATACGTTTCCACCCCTGGCAAGCGGGAGTCGGCGGATTCTGAGACGACGTCTTCGGAGCGTTTCCCGATGCGAAGGCGCTCTTTTCCGAGCGTCTGCCAGTTCTTTGGATAATTAGGCTCACGCCGCGTTGACGCCGCGGCGACCGACCCCAGCGGGCGTGCACGTCTGAACGCCGCCAGCGGCCGGGCGTCGGCCGCATCGGACGACCCGACCTGTGCCGTCAGAAAGCCGTGAGGGCTCAGGTCGGAGCGGTGCAGGAGGTGTCGGGGACCAGCGACCAGGTGGACTCGCCAGGAGCCAGCCGCAGCCCTTTTGGGCTCAAGGAGGCAGCGATCGACCACGACCGCCAAATTTCAGTGCACGGGAAGTGCTGCCGAGGCGGCCCCCGCGCCTACAGCATTCGCGGAACCTTTGCGGGATGCTCCCGGCGGTGTTCATGGTGACCCTTTCCGCGGCGGTGACCGGTTTCGCCCTGGAGAGTGACGCGTCCAGCGGGGGCAGCCCAGCGGAGGAGGAGCAGAACCACTCTGCGTTCCAGGCCTTCGTCGCCGACCTCCTCAACCAGTCGAGGAGGAAAGCGTTGCGCGAACAGGACTTTCGGAGGTCCAGACGGCCTTCTTGGATCTGCGCCGGTGGCGCCGCCAGGGGGGCCCAGCGTCGACCCGAGGAGTCCGTGCGGAGGTCCCAGAGTGTATGTTTTTGCCGTTTTCTGCTCCCCGAGCCAGAAGACGACCCCCCTCGGCAGCCAGGGCTTGCAGCTGCCCATCGAGCGGAGGCCCAGGTTCTTCAGCGGCCTCTCGGGGAAGTGCCCGGACGGGCGGCCGAGGCTGCAGAGTGGCGCCGCCGCGGCGAAGGAGGGCAGCTGCGAGACGCAGCACCTCGACATCAATGCCATGGACTAGGGGCGTGGCTGTTCTCTATGTAGGCCTCCCACATCGGGTTGGAGGATCGCGCCGCATCGCCGATGCATCGCCGACGACTCGATGTGGAGCCCGATTTTGTTTTGCTGGCGTCGCCGATGCACCGCCGACGCAGATGCATCCTCGATGCATCGACGATGTGGCACGATCTTCCGACCCCAGCTACTCGGACCCCATCTAGGAGCTAGGGGGCCTCGTGCCTGTTCGGACGGGCGCATAATCAGAGGACGTTTTTTTTGTTTTGTTCTGGCGATAACGGGCGTCTCTAGGGGTGGTGGTGGAGCCGGCCACGTCATGATTCGCGCCCGCGCCGTCTGGGCATGCTTAGGAACGGCTAATTTCTAGACGGTTCGCGTAACCCCACCAGCCCATCAAGAACCGATGCTCAAAGGAATTGACCGATCAGGGAAGTGGGCAGCACACAGAGGAAGGGTCCCCCAGTGGAGGCCTCTTGGAGCGTCTTGGGGGCCTCTTGGCGGTCCCGGACGCCTCTTAAAGCGTCTTGGCTGCCTCGGAGAGCTTCTTGGGGCCTCTTGGGGGTCTCTGGGCCTCTTGGGCGCCTGTTGGGGCCTCTTGGGGCCGTCTGGGCGCCTCTTGGGGGCCTCTTGGGACGCTTTTGGGAGCCTTGGGTGCGTTCTTGGAGCCCTCTTGGACCATCTTGGAGCCATCTTGAGGCCTCGGATGGCCATCGGAAGCGACAAGGTGAGAAAGCTCCAAGCATTGATTGTCCTAATGGTTTTGGAAGGATTTTGGCCTCTTCGGGGCCTCCTGGGGGAGCTCTTTGGCCACTTGGAGCGGTCTTGGGGGCCTCTTGGAGCATCGTGGGAGCCATCTTGAGGCATCTTGGGATATCTTGAGCCATCTTGGAGATCATCTTGGGCTCTCCCAGGCGCTCTTGGAGTCATCTTAAGCATTGCCCCCCCCCCCCCCCCCCCCAGGAGGGTAAAATGTGACCACAACCTTATTAAAATCAGTGATTTGGCATTGTCGCCGAAGTCTCCCGGGCGGGAGGAGATCCAGAGGCGCGCAAGCCTCCGCACCGTGGGCTCGGTGAGGCAGGGGGCGGTCGCGCGCGGGCAGGTCCTCGGGTTCAGTTTCGGTCGCGAGGCTACGTGAGGACTTGCCTCCAAACCTCCCGTGGCCCTGCTCTGGAGATGGGTGGGATCCCCGCCCCGCCACGCGAGGGCGCAGGCATGCCTGGGCATCGCTCGACCACCCGCCGCCGCCCTGCAGAACGCCGGCTGTCGCTCGCGGGCCATACGCGCGAGCGGCCGGGCAGATTGGCGACCGCAGGGGCGCACGGCCACGCCCGAAGCAACAAAACATATAATAAGTGATTTGGGCGTTGTCGCCGAGGCCTCTTGGAGCGTCTTGGGTGGCTCTGGGGGGCCTCTTGGGGCCTCTTGGGGGTCTCTGGGGAGCCTCTTGGGGGCATCCTGGGGGCCTCTTGGCCACCTCTTGGGGCCTCCTGGCCACCTCTTGGGGCCCTCTTAGGGCACCCTTGGGAGCGCTCGTGGGGCCATCTCGGAGGCCAAAATGGGGCCCACACCGTAGTAAAACTAATGATTTTGGCTTCCTCGCCGAGGCCGTTTTGGACGCCCTGACCGCTCGCGTGGCGCCCCGTCCTGGTCCAGAGGTTGGGGTAGTGGGAGAGGTCAATACCCCCTGCCCGCCCGCAAGCCGTCTCGCTCACTCCCACCCGCCCTCCCAACACATACGTAGCACCCGAGTCTGGCCCGAGCCTGAGCATATTCAGCAGTCGTCTTTGGATGGGCAGCTACTGGGGGCCAATCCGCCGCCGCCGCCGCCGCCGCCGCCGCCGCCGCCGCCCCCCGCTGCCAAACCGCCGCCGCCGCCGCAGCCGCTGCCGCCACCGCCACCGCCACCGCCGCCGCCGCCGCAGCCGCCGCCGCCGCCGCAGCCGCCGCAGCAGCCGCCGCCGCAGCCGCCGCAGCCGCCGCAGCCGCCGCCGCCGCCGCCAAGTGTACTATGTATTGTTTTTTGACAGGGATGGTGGGGGGGGGCCGCGTCGGGTTGGCTTCGCATGATCGAATTTGGAGGCAGAGTGTGGTTTGCATTGTTTTTTACAAGGGATGGTGGGGGGTTGTTGTCATGGACCCTGGTTGGCCCCCAGTCGCCCGGGGGAGGGGGTGTTTATAAATAGGGAACAATGATAAACCCCTCCCGAAAGGGAAGAAAGGGGGTTGGAAGAGGAAGCGCTCTAGACCACCAACGCCCAGAGGGCTGGTGGGATTTTGAGTCGGCGCCGGCGCGAATCGTGACGTGACCAGGGAGGGGGAGGGGGGGGGAGCGGGGCCTTTCACGGGCGCCATCGCGAATGATTACGAAGCCGGCTTTTTTAGGATACAACTTCTAGCAGAGTAAATTCAGCATCGGCGCTGGGATATCCATGGCCGAAGACCGGCCACATCGGGCGTCATTCCGATTATTCACGCTGCACCAGACTTTAGCCTTCATCAGTTAGGGTTGATTTGGCTCAACGGCCCTTCTTCGACATTATTCGCATTTTGACGTTCTTACGAAGACCTCCCAGGAGTTGTTTCCTGACATGATTTGATACACGGCCATTACAGCGCTCTGTGCATATCGAGGACGGCTACGGCCCGACACCGCTGCCCCCCTGCCTCTTCGGGACACGCCTGCTGCGGACGGGTGTTCTAGGAGCCGGCTTGAGCATCGGATGCGATTGAAGCGATGGTGCGATGGTATTCTTTCCCGTCTCTCAGATGGGGCCAGAGAACATGGGATCAGAGGATTGCGCCGCATCGCCGATGCATCGCCGGTGCATCGTCGATGCGGCGCGATCTGCAGCCCGATTTGTTTCCGGCCGACGTCGCCGATGCATCGGCGATGCGGCGCGATACCCCGACCCCATTTACTCGGACCCTATTCGGGATGCCTCTAATTTCGCAGGCATGTTCCCCCAGCTACTGCCGCAACGATTCTGGGATCAGAGGGGCAGGGATCCGCACGACTGCCTTCGACGCCCTTGTGCTCGGGGCTGCCTTGGGGCTCTTTTCAGGTCCTCTTGGGCCTTCTTGGGGTCGCTCTTGGGCCATCTTGGGGCCCTCGTCTTCAGAGGCCGTCCCGGAGGCCCCTGTGGGCCGTCTTGGGGATCTAAGTGCCATTTGCACGTCTTCGGGCTCTCTTGGGCTGTTTGGGGCCCTCCTGGGCTGTCTTGGGGGGCTGTTTCGAGCCACCTTTGGGTTCATATTGGGCGATTCTTGGGGTATCTTTGCGGCCTGTCGGGGGCATTTGGGGAACCTCTTGGGCCATCCTGTGCGGTATTCGCGGCATTTTGAGCCCCCCTGGGGCCATCCTGAGACTCATCGGGTGTTCTTGGGGCCGTCTTGAAGCGATCGGGAGACGTCTGAGCAGTACGACGTGGGAAAGGTGAACGCATTGAGCACATGCTTTGTTTCCCAACCATCCTGTGGTGTTGGGTCTTCGTTTTGAAGAGACGGTCCGCGCGCTCCCTCCCTCCTTCCTTCCTCCTCCCCTACTCCCTGCACCGCCCGCATGCGTCACGCACACCCAATTCGGCGCACCCCTCACACGTTTCGTGGCCCCATAGGGAGCTCCACTGAAGGCCCCAGCGCCGCCGCCCGCATGCGTCACGCACGCCCTATTCAGCACCCCTCACGTTCGTGGCCCCATGAAGGCTCCAGTGCCACCGCCCGCATGCGTCAAGCACACCCATGTCGGCGCACCCCTCACACGTTTCGTGGCCCCATAGGGAGCTCCACTGAAGGCCCCAGCGCCACCGCCCGCATGCGTCACGCACACTCACTTCGGCACACCCCTCACACGTTTCGTGGCCCCACAGGGAGCTCCACCGAAGGCCCCAGAGCCACCGCCCGCATGCGTCACGCACACCCACTTCGGCACACCCCTCACACGTTTCGTGGCTCCATAGGGAGCCCCACCGAAGGCCCCAGTGCCACTGCCCGCATGCGTCACGCACACCCATTTCGGCACACCCCTCACACGTTTCGTGGCCCCATTGGGAACTCCACCGAAGGCCCCAGTGCCACTGCCCGCATGCGTCACGCACACCCATTTCGGCACACCCCTCACACGTTTCGTGGCCCCATTGGGAGCTCCACCGAAGGTCCCAGCGCCACCGCCCGCTTGCGTCACGCACGCCCAATTCGGCGCACCCCTCACACGTTTCGTGGCTCCATGGGAGCTCCACCGAAGGCCCCGGAACCACCGCCCGCATGCGCCACGCACACCCAATTCGGCACACCCCTCACACGTTTCGTGGCCCCACAGGGAGCTCCACCGAAGACGCCAGTGGCTGCGTTCGCATGCGTCCACCGCACCCATTTCGGCACACCCATCACACGCGTCGCGGCACCCTAGGAAGCTCCACCGACGGCCCCAATTGTTGCGTTCCCATGTGCCCACCGCACCTATTTCTGCACACCTCCCACGCGTTTCGTGGCTCTATAGGGAATTTCACCGACAGCCCCAGTGGCTGCTCTCGCATGCGCCACCCAGACAAATGTTGGCACACCACTCACGCGTTTCGTGGCCCTATGGGGAGCTTTTCCGACTGCGATGCATACAACGACGGTGTTCTCAACTGCATATGGTGAGGTCCTTCGCCAGTTTTTCGTTTCTTTTTTCCCATGTGTTGCTCTCTCGAGGACTTTCGGGGGCTTTTTCGAGTTTGCCGTCTTAGGCTCTTGAGGCCATTTTCGGAGCCTGTTGATGCCTCTTGCGCTCCCTTGGCCGTGCCTGGGGGCGTTCCTCTGGGAATCCTCTGGCATCCTGGAGCGGCCAGGAGCGCGAGGGACCCCAAACTTTTTTCAAATCGCGGGACCCTCTAGCAGACAGTACAAAGGCGATAGAGCTAGAGAAGCAATCGACAAAACACAACAAAGGTCACACAAAACACACAGCAGCTGTCCTTCACCGCCTTGCACCACGAGGAGGGCCCGTGGATCTTTTCACTCAGCGATCGATGTGTTCAGCATTCGTTGGTCGCCCACCGCGGCGAGTTCGGTGGAAAGACAGCCCTGCTGCACCCCCATGTACGAATAGTAGTCTGCTTGCCTAGTACGGGCTTTAATCTTCGCGAAAGAATGGAGTCTCCTACCCCTCAGTGGGGAAAGGAGCGAACGCGGACGGAGCGATCCTGATTCGAGTGACTAGCCAGCGATCGCGCGCCATGTAAAAGCTGTGCCTTTGCATTGGTAGATGCGTAACCATCTGTTTGACATCGGAAACTCATTTGTCCAGTCACGCTGTCACTGTGAGTGTGCCTACAGTAGCGTTCAACACTGTCACTCATGCTACGAGGTTTGTTCCCCGCATCTCCCGTGGGGTTCTCGTGTTCTGTGCTCCCCCCCGCGCAGGACTCGCACACCTCACCCCTCTACCTTCTTCTCCAGCATAATCACCACTCACCCCCTCAATCGCTCACCCCCTCTCATCCCCTCGAGTGATTCTGAACCCTCCAAAGGAGCTGCGTAGCACCTCTACGTGTGTGGCAGTATGTAAATTTCACTTGTTGTGCCTGGGTCGGCAGGCGGGGCTTAGGACTGCTTGGCATGTGGTTACAGTTTGTATCTCGAGCTCATATTGTAATTACAGTTGTGCTTCATGTTTGTTGGAAGAGGCTCAAATTTGATGTGGCGTATCGGCGGCATGTATGTGTGCAATTTATGGTGTTAGGGTGGCGGAGGCATTCCAGACAGAGCAACGGTACCCACCGCTTTGCAGCGGCATCTACAGCAGCTCCACATTTTGCATTGGCTAGGGTTCTGCTAGGGAGGGATTTTTTTCCATGAAAACACGTTGATGTCTGTAGTACTTGTTTCTGGCCGCATTCTCAGACATCTTCGTCATGCTACATCGGTCGGTGGGTCTCTTTCGGCTTGAGTTACGTGCGCCGTCCCCTGGGCGAACGGCAGCGTCTCACACCATCGAAGCTTGCTACAGCATGCTTACACAGACACCGCGTTGAGTTGTAAGTTAATGGTGGTAGGTCGGTGGAGGAATGCCAGACAGGGCACCGGTGCCGACAGCTCAGCAGAGGCATCTGCAGCAGCTCCGCAGGATGCACTGGCTTGCTCAGCTGCGTTGGGTGGCGGCATGTCTCTATTTTCTCCGTCGGATTCCTCTGTCAAGGCTGGTGCGACGGCATGTTCGCCAGAAGGAGTGTTTGGCATCGTTCGTCTAGCGAAGAGGACTCAGCAACAACGTGGCATGGAGAAGTGGACAGACCCTGCGAGGCTGGCAACCGAGGTTCTTCACATAGGATTCCGAGGCGTAGAAGGCGACTATTGCCATTACCGCTCAGCAAAACGGAGGGAGCGCGATTGGGCAGTATCAATTATGACGACCGAGGCACTGGGATGGCTTCAGGCTGCAGGCTATGATGTGGGTCCTGGTGATCTTGGAGAAAACATCACTCTCAGTGCTCCAGAACATGTATTATCTCCTGGTGTTCGATTGCGTGGTGTTGATGGCTCTTGCTCAACCGCTGCAGACAGGTCCCTCGTGCTTGAGATTGTTGAAGCTATAGTTCCGTGCCGCAATCTGGAACACTCGCCTTGCTTGGCGTCTTCGTCCGACCGCGCTCGACGTGCATTCCCACGCGCGTGCAAGGACCAGCGTGGCTGGTTTGCTCGTGTGATTGCCTGTGGTGAATTGCGCGATGGGGATTCTCTGCTTTTATTACCAGCTTCATGCGATCGATTGAGTGACCCAGGAAAGACAATTTGCACTCGGCCAGCCAACGGTAGGAAACCGCGTTGGATGATCAAAGGCCATGCGTAGGATAGTGCGCATCGAGCGCAATGGCAGGCTGTTCATGGCTGCTGTTCCAGCATCGTCAGGAACTCTGTTGTCTTTTGTTTAGATCTTCATGCTGTTGAAGTTTCTTGCTTTGCGCCGAGTGGTGATGCGACTCCGCTTGCCGCGCGTGTCCAGGTCCGAAAGGCCAAACGCGCCCAATCACCTCGATCTTTGTCGTCGGCGTCGTCATCGTCGACGTCCGGCTCGTCGTCTTAGTCGTTGCCCTCGTCCTCCTCTTCCTGCTCGTGCGACCAAACTGCCCCGATCCTTCCCTGGGTCCGCCCCGTCCAGTTTTCGAGCTCCGCCCAGCCGTGAAAACGAGACCCTCCAGAAGCGCTCCCCCCCGAAAGCCTCCGCGACGACGACGGCGACGGCGACGGCGACGGCGGCGGCGGCGAGGGTTTGGACGAGGACAGGCGAGGATCGCCGCACGCCCTCTGTGCTTCCTCCTCCCGCTCGCCCTCTCCGCCTCCTCCTTTCCAAGATCGGCCGCGGGAGCGAAGGTTCGCAGCGTCAGATCTTCGCCCCTTGTTCTCCTGTTCCTCCCCCCTGCGCCTCCTGCTCCTCCTTCTCCTCCTGCTGCTGCTGCTGCTGCTTCTGTGGCCTTCACCGAAAGCTCTCAGCAGGGCCGATGAAATATTGCCTTGTGGTACGCACGGTACAAGCGGCAATCCTTGGGCTGTTACCCAGGATTTATTCGGTTCACCCCAAACTTCCTCGGCCCCAGGACCCTCGTGCTTTGCGCAGTCTCTTATCGGGCTGAACCCATTGATGCTAATGGCGGGTGAAATGTGGGTTCGCCCTGGCCTGGTTTCTGCCGAGGCGTCCGAACGGCGCCTTCTAGTGCTCACACCTCCTCCATCGTTGTCTGTTTCCCCCTGGCTCCTCCTGCTTCTGCTCCTCCTGCTCCTGCTGCTCCTCCTCCGGGATATTCCTCCTGCTCCTCCTCCTTCTGTACCACCCCGTGCCCGTGGCCAGCAAATGTGAACCTTCCAGAGGGTACCACCCTCCTCTCGCGGCGGCAACCCCGTGGGCGGCAAGAGCGGCACGGGGCGATAGAGAGAGAGAGAGAGAGAGAGAGAAAAAAAGAGAGAGAGAGAGAGAGAGAAAACGAAACTTGCAGCGCCACTCCGCGAGGGGCCCATGGCATCGACTGAAGCCTTGGGCCGCATCCCGGCGCTCCCTCTCGGATATCGGTGGTTCCCAACCGGTGCGGTGACCACACCAGGATTACCACACGGTTTTGGGACTTGGGTCGTTCTCCGAGGGACGTCTCGCGCGACAGGGGCGTCCAGGGTCGCGAGGGACCGTGCGATGAGGTCTTTGGGGTCTCCGGGGTCACTGCATGGTCTGGCACCGCGCCGACTGGGGACCCAGTAATAGCAACCCTGGATTCGGAGGGGTCCCTCATATGGTTCGTGCTGGAGCCTCTTGAGCTCCCCACCTTGGAGCGCTCCTCGTCCTGAACTTCTCCACGTGGCACTGGGGCTTCGGCGAAGGGGCTCACGCTCTTGGCCCCCTCTGTTGTAGGCATGCTCTTGACGGCCGAAGAACGTGCCAAGATCGCCCTCCCGGTGCTGTGATCGTCAGACCTATCCCCGTCCCCAGTGGGCCAGTGCTCATTGGCGCCGACAACCCACCCCCCACGTGGGGACAGCTGCTACGAAACCCCACGGAGACGGCCCCTATCCTTCCTCCTCTCTACCTCCCCCTCCCCCCACTCCCCCCCCTCCTCCTCCTCCTCCTCCTCCTCCTCTTCCTCCTCCTCCTCCTCCTCCTCCACAGATGCACGCCCTGAATGGGACTCTCCTCTCTGCCCTGATTCTGTCTGGAAAATGCTCGGCTTCTTCACGCATTCGTTTTCACACAAGATGTCAATCACTGTTTTTGTTGGTGTCGGATGTTTTTTTCCGATCCGATTGTTTCCGGTGTTTCAACATGGTGTTCCTGCTGCAGCGTGGGCCTCATTTTCGGATCGGCGTTTTGCTCCCGTCGTTCAGAATTGCGCTCTGACTCCCTAAGGTCAGGATTGATCCCGTCGTTCAGAATTGCGGTGCAGAAGGCGGTCCCTAAGGGCTTGACGACTCTTCTCCAATCGACTCGCGGGGACCAAGCCAGATATACCGAGGTACATCCAGTTACATCAAGGCAGCTCCATCTAGAACGATGTACATGTATAATTATCCAGGTGCAGCTGGAGAGGTCACGGACACTCCGACTACGAGGCCGGGGAGATTGCGGTAGTGAAACCAGGGCTTGCGCCTTCAACTCCCCAAACCAGGCCTCATCCCGCCAAGGCCCTCGAGAGCGCCCCCGTCAACACCTCCCCCTTCCCCGCAAATTTCGTCCAACTCCATATCATATGAAGAGGGCCCAGCGTGTTATCAGACGTACGACGAACAAGAGTGTTTGCTTGCAAGCGTTCACAGGCTGTTTAAAACTGATAGGGCACGCTACATAGACTTGCAATGTATTGCATTGCGCCGTGGACCGATCATTCGGATCCCATTGAGCATGCGTTGTATTGATCTTGAGGTCTGGGCCGACACTGTTGTATTGCATGATGTAGGGCTCTGAACTTCACATGGCGTTGCGCTGAACAGTGGACCAAGATTGGTATACTTTGCAGTGATGGGCCGGCCAGCAGTCGAACTGATTGGTCGACCGTCTCTTGTCACTGCCGTTTTTTGTGCTCAGGACAGATTGAAGTGCGGCCCTTCTGTCTCCCCGACAGTTCTTTCGAGCTTAGAGCCTTCCACCGCTCGGGCCATGGCACCGAAGGCGATCCAGGATGCTGCCCCACAGACACGCCAAGAGAAGCGGATCGCAAAGCTGAGCGTCAAGAGTAGGCTCTTGAGCTTTAGGGTGAAGTTGCAGAATCGTCGGATCAAAGCATTGCGGACAAAACTGCAATGCATCAGTAGGGTCATCGTCTCAACTGTCAGGCATGACGATGCAGCCAACACTAGGTTCAGGGACGGGCCGCCAGGGCATGGAGATGGCTCCTCTTCAGACTGAGAGAGCTCCGAGTGCTGGCCC